TTCTAGTACTAGTAGCTCTAGTACTAATAGATAAAATTTTACCGATTGAAAATTCGATCCAATGTAGGCAATATCAAGCTATGATTGAAAGCAGAATATTTTAAAATAACATTTCTATTCAATTAAAATTTTAGATTAATCCAATGTTAAAAATGTTAATATTCTGATCCCTCAGTCTGTCATTGGCTGTGTGGCAATATCTGACTGTCAGCATGGTTTGAATGTGCTGTAGGCCTACTTGTCACTATGTCAGCTTATGAGGGATCCTCCTTAATCTGAGTTTACACTCTGGATAACTAGGTCTGTCAGCAAACCATGGATCTAGTTGTAATATTACATTCTAGTTCTGATTAGAATTGGCATTTCTATACAGTTCTTGTTAGACCTATACATTTCAAGCCTACTTTTTATGTAATGAAAGAATGAAAGTATTATTAAAAAATGGAACTTTTACAAAAGCCTGTAAACATAATACTATTGCAGTCTAGTTGGTTGATAGATGCTTTATGATTTTATGAAATTGTAACTCAAAATGGCCTTTAAAAATTCCTATAAAGAGGGTGATCAGAATTTTTCTGACAAAATAAAGATAAATTATTATTATTATTAATTTATCTACAATACATCTTGCTTTGTGAGCAACACCCTGGGAAGAAAATAGAGGTGTGTGAGTGATTCTTAATGAATATTTTATTTATTGATTATATTAAAGAAGCTAGTCTATGAATGTAGAATAGAGTAATATATTTTTGTTTAAAACATCTGCAATTTCCATTTTAAGAGTTGAATCACAGCTGATGCTAAGATTTGTATTATGACTAAAAACAACTCCACTTACTCTAAGTCTTTGATCCCATACACTTAACGGAAATAGCCAGCCTGATGCCAGCTCCCGGACATGCTTTGCAAATCTATATTGTTGGCCCATTCTTAATCAGAGGTGCTTTTGAGCAAAATGCAGTGAAAATTGAAATGCTTAGTGTATCAGTGGCTGTGCTACATGGGGGAAAGGGCCACACACTGTAGACCATCCATAGAGAAACAATAGAGTGCTGACAAGAAGGCGCAGCAATGCAGAGTTATGTATGTGTACCATCCAAGATGGCCGTCGTAGTAAAGCGCCACCTTCAGGCTTAGTATACATATTATTACATATTAATAAGCCCTCTGACTGACTATTATACACATCTAGATGTGTATAAGAGACAGTATTATTACATATTAATAAGCCCTCTGACTGACTATTATTTCATTAATGATAATGAGTAATGGTAATAACAAATTATTAAACTATTGTAGCCAAAACGAGGCCAAGTGGAGCATCTTATTCAAAAATAAAGTACCAAGGAATTAAAATTAAAATCGTGTACATTACACCCAAACACAGCAACGCTCGAGTTTCAAACGTACGGGTAACTAGCTGTACTGAACTTTCTGAGTAAATTGAGGGCGCAATTGCAAACGATGGTGCTTAGCGAAATTTGATTGGCTAAATCTATGGCAGCCATCTTGGATGGTACACACACACAGTTCTGCGTATTTCGAACATCGAATACATTGCGGTTAGCGCTCTAGTATTCTTATATCTCTATGAGACCATCTAACCACGACGGCAGGTTAGAGCGCCCTCTTTCACCGTATTTATTCTAGCATGTGCATCCGTCCTGGTATGGTCATTGGCTCATTCCTTCAAGAGGCTGTTTTCATAGTTTTATACTTAGTAATTATTATGCTGGATAAAAGTAAATGTTTTCGATGGATGCATACCTGTCTCTTATACACATCTAGATGTGTATAAGAGACAGATTTCAAATCTTCAAAAAATCGTCTGGACCGATATTGGAATTTAGATATGGTATTTAAAAGGCAACTAAAATTACCATTATTTTCAATAACTTGATTTTGATATTTTTTCCATCTCAGACTGCAACGTGACTAGCTTCGTCAACAACGGCGCAGAGACAACTTGTAAATCAGATTGTCTGCCATATGCAAATGTTAGCATATTGGCTGTCTCTTATACACATCTAGAGGTGTATAAGAGACAGGTGTTACATGACGTACAGTAATTTCTTTATGAAGTCTACTAGAAATTCCAGATGGATTTTTACCCGATATTAGAAGCACGTCATTTGCATTTAGTAAAACCAAGGAGTTTTATACCTTCTTGGTAAAACCTTACACAATTGCAAACGATGGTGCTTAGCAAAATTTGATTGGCTAAATCTATGGCAGCCATCTTGGATGGTACACACACACAGTTCTGCGTATTTCGAACATCGAATACATTGCGGTTAGCGCTCTAGTATTCTTATTATATCTCTATGAGACCATCTAACCACGACGGCAGCTAAATAATAAAGCCATGTTTTTAAAGATGATACAGTATATTATGACATTTATTACCACATCTGGGACGTCTGATGACCTATCCAATCTGTTAATCTGTATTACAGTACAGTATGGCTTCTCATTAGTTCTTTTTTTTTTGTGCACACACTTGCTAATATATACAGTTAAATATTGTTTGATTTGGAACGGCAATAACCATGCAGATATTTAGTAAACAAAAAATAAATTCCAATTTTAAGGCTGGGTAAAAAAATAAATTTTAAAAATTATTTTTGCGATACCAGCAACTAGCATTGCAAATATTCTAATTTGGCCAGATATGTAGCAGGTCCTGTGTATTAATCTACTTAACATTAGAATAATATGGGAAAGATAAAGTACTCTTACTGGGTGATATAGTTTTTAATACACGCCATCGTGTTGTGATTCAATATTTTGACATTAATTATGTCATCATCAATTCCTGATAGTTTTTAATATTTTGGTCCAAATAAAATTCATTGCTAGTTTTACGTCCTCGCCCTCCACTAATTGTGGAGCCTCATGAAAAATTTACTTTAAATTTTAAAAAAAATATTGACAATCTGAAAGATTGTTGTCAAAGCCTATTAGAAGAAGAGGAAAATATGGATTTTTATGCACTTCTCAGCTTCTGGGAATACAAGATACTCGTCAATAATAATAATAATAATAATAATGCTTAACAATAATGACATTGTTAGTGAGAATAATATTAATAATGATGTAGGATTTTTGTAGCCATCGAAAAAACCTTGAGGGTAACAACAAAAAGAAATAGACTTTGCACCATCAGCCTGAACTTACAAAAACGTTGAATGTTGGAGCATCATTTACTGGTACACCTATAACTCTCTCATGCTCTAATGACGGAGGCTCCTACTAGGCAACAATTTAGTGTCCAGAGGGAAAAAAAATCAATAACGTGCAATTTAGTTAGAAATTGATTTCTAATACTGTATTCAAATGTCATGTAATTGGTATGCATTTTTTTTTTTTTTAAAGTACATCCATCGTATGTCTTTATAAACATTAAGAAAAATTTTTATTTTTAATAAGGCATTTCCATGTATCAAGTGAAGATTGAAGGCAATATTCAACATATTGACAGATAGTCTGGTGGTGAAATACGAAATGCACTTACTGACCGAAATCAAATTTATTATCATTAAATTACTGGACGATTTTGAACGAAAGTGCTGTATGCAGGTTCAACAACAGCTTTTAATAGATCTGGTTTTTACTCACAGTACAAATGTCGTCAGATAATTGACATAATACTTGCTCGCAAAATCTCTTCGTTTTAAAATGTTTTCTTCTTCTACTTTTAAATACTGTACTTTAGTCTAATTCAAAGACAATTTTAAAAACAAAAAAATTAATGTCCAGAATTTATTTAAATAACACTTTGAATTGGTGTGGTGATTATGATGCAACATGCAGATCCTTCCTCCTAATAATATATCCTCTGTAGCATCTTTGATAATATAACATTATTTTAAGAAAACATTATGTAATTTTGATGGCTGTCAAGTAGGTTATATTTTTCTGTTAAAAAGGACATTTTATTTTCATATAGATTATGAGAATAATGAACAGCTTGACTGCTTAATCTATATTACAAGTTTCATAGTATAGTAGTATGTCTATATTTAGTGTATTAAATGTGTTTTATGAACTTGTAAACATACTGAATGATGAATAAAAGAAGTCTTTGAATCTTGAAAATCTTGTATAGAGATATTGATATAAGGAAGTAGAAACTTTGGTATCAAATGGATTTGGTAGCCAGTGAGTTCGTGCGGAAAGTAATTTGCTTTTCCCATTCATGCATGTGCATCACATTCATTACCGGAATTGCATAAACAAGTACAGTATATGTTCCAAGTGTCTGCCTACATTACTGCATCCATAAATGAAAATGACGAAAACAGAACTACTTGCATTCAGCTACAGTATGTTAAAATGTCATGAACTAAAATTGTCGTGTTGTGTGTAGCCATAAGGTTAGTCTGTCAATATGTCATCTAAAACACTGTTCCGCAACCTAGGGGTTGCGACCCAATGTTTGGGTCGCGGGAACATTTAGATGGGTCGCATAATCTCTTTAGATCGTGAAAACTTTACTTAAAATATGAACAAGGACAAACAAAATCAATTACAGTACTGTAAATGAAAGTGCTGTTTACTTTTGTATTAATGCAAGTGTTTTCATAGTTGCATGTTAAATATTACAGTATACTATAAAAACATTTGTACTTCAGTTATGACAATTTGAAAGTGTTAGTTTTTTCCTTTCAGTGTGTTTGGGTTTAATTATAGCTGTAGAAATGAAAAATAAATAGTACTGTACTTTTATAGGTAAAAGACAATTGTTTATAAATTATTGTTACCTTCCAGGAGTTTTGACATTGAAATGAGATGATTTTTTGATCAAATAACAATTCATACATCACACATTAAGTATTCCACAACACCAACTCTGTTGAAGATGGGTTTTGCATAATGATAATCCAAAATGTAAAAATACGTAAATTTAAACATACAGATAAAATAATAGCAAATTAATATATTACTGTAAAGGTGGATATACTGTAAGTCTAATAATAATTGATTTGTCATTTTTTTAGCAACTTTCAAGATCCATCCAGCAACTACAAGAAGAGCTTCAAAAGCAGCAGACGACGTCACAAGTGTTGAACCCAACGCAGCGACAAGAAGCCGATGCACTACGAGTGGAAAAAGAGCGGCAATCCAAAGAACTGTTTCTCCTGCGAAAAACGCTCGAGGAGATGGAAATTAGGATAGATACACAGAAACAAACGTTGGCCTCTCGCGACGAAAGCATTAAGAAATTATTGGAAATGTTGCAGAGCAAAGGCTTAGCCGTGAAGGGTATTGAGGCTAATCATGAAGAGATGGATCGACTTAGGACTAAGCTGGTTGAAGCAGAAACGAAGGTTATACAGGTCACCACCAGCTTAGAGCAGAAACAAGCTGAGATTGCTAATCTTGCTGATGTAAGTATGCACTACCAAACCTCTGTTCATGTACTGTAGTTGTCTTTATAAACAGCAGTATAACAGGTCCTTGCTCCATGTAGTACCCTACAGTACACATGGTTGCGCAATTAAATGTACAGTATGCTCAATAGGGCTTGGTTACTTTTATATGAATTTTAATTGCTTTCCAGGCTGGAATTGTGGTACTTCATAAAAATTTGATAAAAGCAGACGTTTAATGAGTTAGGTCAGCTAATGAATTCTGTTAATTTTAATTTGAAAATTTGACTTATTGTCGCACAATCTTTTAATAGTGACAATTTTCTCATTGTCACACATTTTTCTGGTGACATTTTCCTATCCATCATGTCTTATTAAGGAATAATATGAAATTTCATAATTCAGTTTTATTTATTGAATGTCATTTGAAAATTTTTGTTAACTGTCAAAGAATGATTAAAAAAAGACCACATTGAGACAGATAAAGTGTTTATTACATCCTCTGCAATGGTACAAGTCCAATATTATTTAAAATCAAGTACTGTACAGTACAGAACTGCTTTATTTCATGTTAATTTGCTAGCAGACCTGCTGTTTAGTCTTTTAAAATTCCAATTGATAATCCAACAGCCAGGTTTAATGAACTATAGTAGTAGCCTACTACATGATAAGCATCGTTGAAATCCCATCAATATTCTGTGCTTGGTTTTCGCCCCATGGACACGCGGCCAGATTATTCGCATCGCGTTAAGTGAGTGTTAGTGAATTGAATAATTTGTCCTCATTGTCGCCCATTATCATCATCATCTAAGTTGTTTCATTATTCTGTTAAGGTGGCCTTCTAGTTTTCTTTTCAAATTCCTTAAATTTCATTAATTTAATGAATTAATTTTAAAAATATATATTTTATTGCATTTTCGAATATATTATAGACCAATAAATTGCATATAACAAAAGAATATTACTAAAAAATTGCAATTATTATGATCAATAAAAGTGACAATGGACATTGATAAATTATAATAATTGCTCTCCACAAATTGAAGTGGTAAAGAAAATAAATTGTATTAACTCTTTTAAAGAATATTAAAATTATTGCATGCCTAAAAATGCATGTTACTGTATCTCTATACTTGTATTCATTGAAACTTTATTAATTGTAAATGAATGTTTAAAAAAAATTAATTTGTTATTATTAATGTATCTAGTACAAGGCCATTATATATTTATTTATATATTTATTTATCCTACTTTATTTCATGAGGAATAAGGTAACTGCAATGCTGACATATCTTTAAGTCCACAGAGATTAATCAAAGATGTTGATAAAAGCATTACAGTACTGTACCTTGAACAAGAGAAAATGACATTACTTTTGGACTGTAAAATATAACAATAGAAGATATTTTATACTCAAATACTGTAATACCCTATAAATTGTATGACAGTTTTGATAAAGTATATTGGTTGTACTGTATAAAAAAAATCGTCTAATGTAATTAAGAACATCATGCTTTTACTTGGTGTTCTAGGCAGAAAATGGTTGTATCACTACTGTACAGTAGTTATTGTAGCCTGCAGATTTCAGTGATTAGCTTGGTCAAATTCTAACCTTATACTTACAGTTAATACTGTCTGTTATAGTAGCTCTACTGTACAGAATTTTACAATTCTTTGTAATTTGCATCATTATATGATATGGGGAAAAAAAAGCATACTTGCACATTTCATATGCACAATGTCAGTTTATTTGATTAAGAGGACCAATTATTTAATTGGACATTTTGTTTATCTGTTGATTCCTTTGATGACGAAAGCTCTGTCCACACTATCAAGATATGTCGATGTGCCTATATATGGGCATGATGATGTCATACTACATCCAATTATGGGCATATATTATCACATTTATTTGTTGCATAAAATTTGATAAGGTGGATAGCGCTTACACATTATGTTTGACAAAACCAAAACTTTGTTGTTTTAACATTTTATTAAATTGATACTGATACCGATTTTTTAATGCTGCTTATCGATACTTACGACAATATACCAGGATTTACGAAGAAATACAAATCGTACCGATCGTCTTGAACGCCAGCTAGGCTCTGCACTACATTCAGATTCTGATTCATCTCGGGGCCTAGCTTTAAAGGCAGTCGTAGAAGTGAAGGTACAGTAATGTAATCTAATCATATGTACAGTGAATCGACTTGTAGTTTTCAATTACAGAAAGTCTTTTACATTTCTAGTCAAGTCATCAATAGTTCATTATTTCCTATTTTGTATGTTTTCATTTGGTTTTTGTGTTTTATTTTGTTTTCAATTTGGCTGGCTATCAATATTTCATCAATATCATACATGTGTAAGGTGATTTAAAGCATGCTTTCAATTTGGTTATCTATTATGTTTTTTATGCATTAAGGTCAAAAAGAATGTTATTATAATGGTCCGAAATTATTATAATATTTTTCTATGTCATACAGTATTTGGCAAAGACAAGCCAAACTAGTCACTCGTTGCAAAAATTGATATTTAATACAGGGTTATAAGATGAATAAGAGAGTATAAAATGGTAAAAGAATCATAAAGTTTATGATTTCGGGCATTTCTCAGGCAGAATCCATCACCAAATTGTTGTTTTAACATTGAAAATGAGGAAAATAACAGCATTATATATATACTGTATATCATCATGATGTATCATGATATACAGTATATATAAAGGTTAGTTTAGTGCAGTAAAATAGATTTCAAAAATAAATTTGAGCATGTTTTGGCCATTATCTCTGAAACAGGATTGCGACGAGTGACTCGTTTGGCTTGTTTTTGCCACATATGTTAATTTCTATATTAGGATTTTAAAATAATTCATGCCACCATCAGCATCATCATCAACTTTATAATTAATATAATTACAGGTATGTTATCTTAAGCAGCATCATCATCGTCTCATCGTCTTTATCATCATCATTACCTTCATCGTCATCATCATTGTCATTGTAATTACACTTTTATACCACTATCATCATAATCATTATTGTCATGGCATCATCATTTTCATCATACTAATTTGGTTCAACCGAGTTTTGCATGGCTATTTTCAGTTTTATTCCTTCAATTATAATATTATGAAGGGGTCCCAAGTTGAAACTCCATTCGCAGGAGATTTTGTCAGGAACATTTGGCCACCTGCAAATACAACGCGTGTTACGTTATAGCCAATACGCAACTAGTTATAATATCAAATACTTGACATTCAGTGATCAAACAGACAGTTAAATTGCTACTGTAGCTCTTGCTTTCATTTTTATTTTACACAATGTAAATTAATACAATGAAATTACATAAATTCTGGAATCAACTACAGTACTCTGACGGTGTACAGTAGGCCTAATCTAATATTCATTTATTTACACTTAGACCTACATCAATATCATTAATTATGTTGTACATCAATTTACACTTCTTTTCTGGCATCTGTTAGTTTATTGTATTCAATAGTAGTTGCTTTTTTGCCCCTGATTAGAGCAGAATTTGGATGCAGTTCATGGCAGTCTAGCAAGTCTGTGAACATAAAAATAAGAAAAATATTATTTCCAAATGTATGTATATAATCTAATTTATTTTATTCTCGTTAAAGTATCGATAGACTTGTCTAGGTGTACATAGCTCAATTGACTTCATCAAAAACCTTAACTGAGGTCTAGATCTAAGGTATTTTAAGGACGGTAGGCCTCGCCTAGGCCCTAGAGTAGTACATTAAAAACTGGCTCGAAAAGTTTAAGGCCTGACTAGGCTTAGGTGGGCTAGCGATGAGCACAGGCCTCTACAACCATCCATTTCCAAGTCACAAAAATGAATAACATATGGTTTTATCCCAATCACATAAAAATGTTCAAAAAGAAGTCAACATACCTTTAAATATCTTTAGACGTCGGCCTTATTACTACAACATTACTATAACAACATTGACCTCCATGCTTTCAAACAGTATACTTTGCTGAGTTGAGTTCGTTGACCTCGATGGTGCGCCACCAGTGGCTAACATACTTCTTGTGAATTAAAAGCTCATTAATTTCTGCGTTTCTTCGCTGAAGCCATATTTTTACTTCTTATTTTCGACTATCAATTTATAATTATGTGATTATTTTCATGAAACAGCTCGATAAAATTAACTTTATGCAAAAAGTTAGCAGTAGGTTTGTTGTACAGGTCAAAGGGTGTGTTATTGCGGGCGTCGCAAGTATGGGCACATCAATGTATATTTTGATTCTGCGTTTTCAGCAGCTACCGTAATTAATTGCAAATGCATTATAAGCAGTGATGGTAGGGAGTGGAATAAACTTATTTGTGATGTTTACGATTGTTTTTAACATCATGAATCATGTTTTTGCCTAGGCCTAGGCTAGAGCTGATCTTCAAAATTAAATATTTCAAAAATTTACGGGAGAATCTTTTTCATGCGGTAGAAAAACGTAGGCTTACAGTAGCCTAGTAGTTCGTCGCTAAAAGCGGTAGACTACCGCAAGTAGCGGTAGACTTGGGACCTCTGTTGAGACCAAGAAATTGTTTTATGGCTATACGGTATTTACACTTCCTTGTACTGTACTGTGCTCGTTATGTAAGCTTATTTAAATTTAGTAAAAGTATTTTCCTTCTATGCTGCAAATCACCCTTTTATCCTTACTATTCTCTTATGGTAGATTCATTGTCATAAATGTTCTTACTTCCTTATTTTCAGTAAATTTGACATAGATTTAAACTGACTTAAATATATTCATTAATTATTTATTAAATTAAATGAAAAACTGTGCAGAGGAAATAAATTAATTGTGGATTCAATAGAAGGGGAAAAAAACCAAAGTGAAACTGTCAACCTTATATAATATCACTTTATCATATTTTGAAAACCCTCTTTAAATTTATGTTTGATTTATTTTATAATAGTTTTTTTTTAAATTTCATACAATGCTTTTTCTATGCTTATTACTGTATATTTAATATGTCTTCTATAAATTTACCATAAAATATTTGATTTATATTATATTATAAATTTATCTTCTTTATATGACCTGGTTTTTATTGAGCTATAAAAAAAAAACATTTTTTATCATTATGCACTGAAACGAAGTACTGTAAATATTGTTTTTCTTCTATCACATTAAAATCAACATCAGATGATATCTAAAACTATACTGTATTTTGTTATTTCCTTGTAAATAGGACAACAAAATCGCAAGTCTGGAACAGAGGCTAAGGGATCAAGAAGAGGAGCTTAGTCGGTACCGCACTAGCCACTCACTAAGCTCAGATGATGCTGGAAATTTCTCCCGAGAGGCAGAAGAGTTCAAGGGTCAGGCTAGGCATTTCAAGATTAAGGTGATTAGCATAATGTGTTCTGCTTACAAGTGTGGAATATATTTAGAAAAGATTTAATGAATAGTTGCAAAGGAAGATTTGCTCATAAATTATGGTTTAGAATGTTTCTTTATTACAAGTTTTAAAATAATATGTAGGTAATTATTATAAATTATAGTAATATAAAAGTATAATAATTATAATTTGATATACTACTTTAGTTTTATAGTTTTTTAGTGGTGCTTTATCTCATGAACAATTAATAGTACAGTATCTTGTTTTGGCTTCCTTTTATATCAAATTGTAGTGTCCACTTACTGCAATCAACTGCAATGTAGTGCATAGCCTCATTTATTATTTTCATCTTTATTGATTTAATACTTAGTTGATAGAAATGTAAATTTCAATGGAAAAGGTTAAATCATTTAGAGAAGACATTCGCTCTGATGACATCAATGACCTCTCAAACCTTGAAGACGCGACAAAACAATTACGATTCAATTAACCCTTTCGTGTAAAGTTGTTTAGATTAGATATAGCACTGGTGTTGGTTTGTTCAAATGGTTAAGCCTAAAGCCATTAGAGGTTTTCCCATTAAAGATAGTGTCAGTTATATTACCCAGCCATAAGACACTTCAATATGGTCCCAGTCTACTTCGTGAATACTTAACTGGACAAATTGCCTATTCTCTCTCAAACATGAGAACACCCCTCGAAAAATAATAGAACAGTCGTCCCATTTTGTCACTTGATGAAGAACCCGATTATTCTTGCAATTTATGTTTTAAATGTAAATGCTGCCCCTGATTCTGATATTCGCTTTATGTGATCCTTTTTCTAACTACTGTACCTGTCAGGGAATGTGTGAGGCTGAACATGCTTTTAAATAGGTTGTCCCTTGACTGGGCGACACCTAGCCAATGCAAACCAAGATGTAATAAAAACCTGTTATTCTTACAAATTTGCAGGTATTCATACATACTGTATGGCTGTGTCGGTTAGCTTCCCAGTCACAAAAGTACAAGTTCATTCTCCAAAATTGTCAATTGGGGATACAAAGAATTTAATGTATTGCCCTTAATGTTTAAAAAATTGAATGTTTTGTCATTTGATTTGTGTTGTAGATTGATAAGATGAAAGTTGAAATGACAAAAAAAGACTCTGAAATCCAAGGCTTACAGACCCGTCTTGATACCCTGAACCACCAGGACCAAGACAGCCAGGCTCACATCCAGCTCCTCAAAGAATCACTATCTGCAAAGGAACAACGCATCGTCATTATGCAAGCTGATGTAAGTAACTACCTGGTACAGTACTTGGTATTTGCCATTTCAGGACAGGAATATAAGGCTGTCATTGACTGATGGCAGCGGTTGGGTGCAGCGTTTGCGGTTCTGCTACTCAACCTTGTGGGGGTTCAATCTCTCGCTGTGAATTTCACTTGAGTCCTTGGGCAAGGCACTACTTATCTAAGGTTGTCTCCACCCAGCTGGGAATACATGTGAGTGAGTACTTGGTGAGTTCAAACAAAATGCACTGTTTATTGCTACAACATTATGGAGTTTCCCCAGCGACCTGAGTATTTGTTCCATGTGCTTGATCCAGTAACTGGGGGTAGTAATGTCAAGCTGCATAGAGGTCTCTACATGAATTCTATAAGTCACCATAATCATTATTATTGATAAACAGTTGACTAAAACCTTCGTCGATTTACTCATTTGAGATAGAGACCGACTGGTGCTTTACAAGTTGAGTTGATTTGATTTATTTCGAAATTCTCACAACTAAACAGAGTACAAAATTAAATAAATTAAACAACAATAAGAGAATTTCAGGATAACCCTTTAAGAATTTCTGCTTGTTTCCGAAGGGGTCCCATTACAATAATAATAATAAACGCAACAATGACATATAACAAAAAGAAAGCCATAGCCTGAAATAAGCAACAATGCAAACAAATACCATACTGAAAAATTTAAACAATTAGCTTGGAATGAGAATTCTAAATAATTAATAATTTACACTTTAATGTTTATTGAATTGTGTTGAATGTTAGATGTAAGTAGTTAACAGTAAATACATGAATACATAGTAAGTATTTGTAAATAATGAGAAATTATAGTAACAGTGCTTGAAGATGTAGGCTTTTTAGTTTAAGTACCAAAATGCCTGTTTGTTATTGTCCCAGCATTTTTGTATATTGTTTGTTTATTCATGATGTATTGAATTTGGTTTAATTTTGTAGGATTGCTCTGTAGAAGCACTTATACCACCCAAAATTCATAAACAGTGAACAGGTGCTCTCAATCTGCATCAAGCATGAATGCTTATGATTTCATCCTTGTATCTAATCACAGCATTGTAATGGGTAATTGGCTCCATAGGAGCCTTCCTGTCTTCTCAGTGTCATTCTGTATCGACAGAATTTTACATGAACTTGCATCTTTAAAAAGAATGTGAATGCTTGGTCACACATGAAGCGCGCAATAAATAATAATGGTTTACGATGTGTGATCAAATGATGCATGAATGGTGTGAAATCGCAGCAAAAAAACAGACATCAACATCTGATTTATTTATCTGTTTGATGGTTCTTCCTGAAGGGTGTCGTTTACATTACTCTATGCAATAGAACTGACATTTTATACTAATGTGACATGTTCGAGGAAAAACCAGAGTTATGTGTTATAATATAAGAAATGTCTGCAATTATGTTGACTTCTGCATGTAAACCTTTGGGCTAATTTGCTGTCAAAATTGCCAAAGTTTTCTATCCTGCTTTTAACAAATCTTGAATCTGGTCCATAATACAAGCCCGGCCCTCTTGTTCTAGTTTTTAAATATTTCCTGCCGGAGACACTGAATCATTAGCCTAAATGTTAACCACAATTTATCATTACATTAAGACAGGATTAAGTATAGCCACTGTGTTATGCCATAAGCGTATTACCATTGCATTAAGATGAGATTAAGAACTTTCAATGTCATTTAGGATCATCCACAGACATAAACACATACTTTTCATCTAATTAAGCTAATGATCTAGATAGGAGTCTACGATTATACTATTGAGATTAGATTGTCTATGTCTCTGTACAGGCATCACAGGCAATGCATAACACATAGTTCTTTATTTACCAATGATATGAATTCGCATTGGTTCACATTATCAATGGAGTAAAAAGACACTGTATTGTAAGTATAGCCATCAGTAACGTACCTATAACATGAATGTAATTGATGTTCTTCAATCCAAGTATAATCATGAGGTTTGAGTGGTTTTATGTTATAAAAATCCATCATTGGATCATTCTGCCTCCAGAGTTAACCTATTTTTTCCTACTTCGATACACTAGTGTACCTCTATCAAATACCTAATATTTTGTCTCTCCATCTCAATTTTTATGTCTTCCTATATTTCTTATTCTGACGTTCACACTTTTAATTAATAAAGGAACATTATTTGAAATGTCAAGATACTTATTTTTCAAATCTGTTTAAATCCTTTCTTAATCAATATTTCTTTGCCAGATTGAGGCATTACGAGGACGACTTGAGGAGAAAGAGTCTTTGATCCAACAGAAGAATGACCAGCTCTCCAACATGTCAACTGACAAGAATAAACATTCAAACGAAGTTGCGGAGTTACGGGAGATGGTCGACATCAAAGATCGAAAGACAAATGTACTTCAGAGGAAGGCAAGTATCATAACACTTGCAATTTCTCATCATTTTTTTGTCTTTCTTTTTTCTTGTAATTATATATTTTTCATAAGCATTCTAAACTTTGACCTTCCCGACCACTCCTAACCTCCCCTCCCATCTTCATTTTTCTGGGATTTGAACACCCATTTGCTCATATATGGTTATGAATGAAAGCAATTTATTTTTTTACCTTTATAGCATGACCCATACTACCTCCTCCCCACAACTGTCTGAAAAAATATGTCCTCTTCACTAAATATTACATTTAATCGTGATCATTTTTTTAACCATATTTTTAGAGGATGACCCATGCTTCCAGTTTATTTCACAAGGTCAGCTGATAATCAGGGGCCCTCTTAAATGTACAGTATGAAACAATATGATGTTCTATAAACCAAGTCTTCTTGAAATACCTAAGTAGTGGAGATGTTAGCTCTAAGAAAATCCAATTCTTATCGTCCAGTCAAACTGCAAAATGGACACCATTAAGCTTTCAGCAATCAAGAAAAATCTCCTTGCAGTAGAAACCATTCCAGCCATAAACAATTCCAAAAACACACTTATTTTCCTTATATTATTGATTTTCTTTCTCATGAAAGTATAAAATTGAAGCATACAAATTTGGGACAAGGATTGACAATAGCAATTATAACCACTGTCTTAAGTGACCATATCTTTCACAAGTCAAATATGCCCATGATGCTCTACTCATCATGTTACTTAGGTTGTGGACTTGTTTTTAGTCATGAGAAGAAAATAATTTCCCTTGACAGGAATTGAACTTTGGGCCCTGTAATTTGAAAAGCAACTATTTAACCTACTAATCACTACAGCATAAAGTTAGAACTGCCATCACTCATTGGTGCTGTAAATAGAAAAAAAAATACATTCATACTAACTAGTACATTAATTATTACATAATTCATTTCCAGCCTTGTACGCATTCTTACTCATGGGTTTAAAACGCCAATGTAGGTAATTTGTCTTGCAAAAGTAATGTGTAGAACTTGGAGTCTGAATCCACCAAATAATAATAAAATCATAATGGTACATTATTGGCTGGAATATAAGGAGCAGAAGTCTTAGCAAACAGGAAATGAGATAACAAACACAAAAATGTTAATTCCAAATGCCATTCATGCAAAGATACTTGGACATGAACTAAATTATTTAATGCATTTTGTACTGTAACATCAGAGTAATCGTCTACAGCCTACATCTCTGAATGGTTCATGGTTCTATGATAATGTTCCGCTAAAATTCATTTCCTAATTGTTCCTTTCTGAATCTAAAATATAATATTTTATTCATGGTCTTTTGAGACCAAGTAAATTTAGTATCATGGCACAGAGTTCAGGGACTTGAATTATGCTTAATATATTGATTTAATTTACCTCATAATGGTCATTTTCATTTTTTGTTTTCATTTCATATACTTACTATTCATTGAATCTATACAAAGCATTTTTAAAATAGCTACCAAATATTTATGTAATGCATAATATTTTTCAGATTACTTTACAGTTTGTGTAATATGTCGATTCACATACTACAAAACCAGATGAATAGATTTATGCATAATTTATCATAATCAGATCATAACTTTTTGAAATTATCAAATTTATTTATAGTTATACCATACATAAATTGTAAAAACGTTATGTAGTTATGAAAACATTTTTTGTACAGTTTTAATTAAATTATGCATAATATATTATATAATCATTTGTTTTATTAATCAAATGATTATAGTATGTGCAATCATTAGAGTATGTTATAATCAATTTATAAGTGTCATTTAATTTTTATTCATTTTCATATTTATTTTTTATTCATTCATAATCATTCCATTTTAAAATTTGTTTTAAGCTTTTGCATTGCCATCCTTAATAATCACACTAATGACATTTAATGTTTTATGTATTAAACATAATCTTCTGTTCTCATAAATTCTGGTTGTTTTTAACTTTTGCACAACTTTTATTCTTGTATTACTAAGACTTACATTGGAGTGGCTAATTCTCTTTTGGTACAGTTTATACCTTTAGAGTACTACTGCTGTCTCCTTTGGAAGTTCTGGCAAATAGGGATATATTATTAATGTTCTTTACTATTACCATCATCAATAATTATTATTGTTATCAATTTGGTCACTAGTTTCATACATAGCTATTGTTTTTTTTAGCCATATTATCATCATCATCATCATAATCATTATTATTATTTTTATCATTTTTGTCATATGTTCTTCATCTAAAAGAACATCATCGGTCTTCATCATCATAGTCGTCATAATCATTTAATATTTCATCATCATTACCATATCATTATACTTGAGTATCTTTCAAGAGCATACATTTCAGCCAATTTCAAGGTATAATAAATTGATTAATATAAAAATGATCTTTATAGTCAAATCAAACTAGTGGAGGGTTCGTGCCTTGATCAGTTTGTATTGAGAAATTTAACCAGAACCATGAATTCACTACCAACGCCTACACTTTCATCATCAAAAAACATAACATACCCAACCTTGGGTATTCCCATTTATGCATTTCCCAAATGAACACAAAAATGTACTTAAAAGGAAGTGAGAAAAGTGGATGTGTACCCATAAACCCTTGAAATAGAGATGGAGCTATTCTCTGGCAATGGAAAAAGTGATGTTAATATTATTTCAGTATTGCATGATAGTTTAGAATACTTAAAATGAACACATCATAACCTCTGACCTCTATGTTCAAACCCCAATAGCTGGCTGACTACACGAATGCATTGGAACTTAAAGATGGCAAACTAGAGTTCCTCCTGATAAAGGTGACCTTTGACCTTGTCTTGTCATAGTGATATGCTTTTGATTTGCATTATGATACATGTTACTTCTCATTTAAGTTGTCCCATTGCTGGAATATGTTCTCTAAGACATTTTGTTTTTCTGTCTTTGTTAATGGGCTTGTCTTGAATGAAATCGTTTCTCTCTTTGCTTTTGTACCTGCATCCATTAATGAATACGGACTAATTAATGCTCGTTATGTTTCGTTAATTAACTCTTTTGAACTTCATTACAGATCTTAATTACTTATTGAAAAAATACCGCCACAGTTCATTGACTAACCGTTGACGTTGAAGCAACACTTGTGCATTGATATTTATTGAAAACATTTCTTTATCGTTCTGATTTTTATTAAAATATAAAAATGTGAAAACATTTGAAAGGATATGAGATGAAATGGCTTGTGTATATTACTATATTATAATCTTAACAGTATCATTACAGTATATCCTCATGTTTATGTGATTGTATAGCCAACATTGGTTGAATTTACTGCTAGGGTGTTGTCTAAACTATATAATATTGTTGATATTTATCTATCTGTATATCTAATAACTACCCAGTCCGTGTTTTTATGAGTATGTTAACAGCATAGAATGTTTTCACTTTCATGTTTAACTGCTATTCTTCATCTATTGAATTGATTATCATCTTTTATCGATATTGGTTCTCATTGGTCAATAATTAATCAATAATATTTCATTATGAAACTGATTGGTTATATTTTGTGGCAAACAGTATTACCAGTCTGCTATTTTGATCATGTTTGCTGGTGTAATAACAATTGAATTTAATATCAATATATTATTTATATCAGTGAAGTGATGACTTGTTTTTATTGTACATTAATGTAAAAATATAATATACCAAAGTCCATCAAATGCATTCTCAAGTGAGTGAAGATTGTATTGTCAGAGACAATTGATTTCCTGTAACCAAGTTTCCAAAGTATACAGCAAGGCCTTAGGAATGTAATGGATACATCGCCTATCTATCAATTCTACTTTTCCAGCAGTTATGACCATTTAATATTGAAGCACCAGAAATAATCAGTGATTCTCTCATAAAAAAATTTAAAAGATGATGATGAAGAGGATGAATTACAATTCTACAATTAGAAGGCAGTAGTCCCAAGTCAGAAAAAAACCATTATGGAAGATCTAGTTAAATGAGCTTGCTGTTATGCATGGGCATACCCATGACCAGGAGACATAAACAAGACAATTGATAAATACAGTAGCAAACATGTATATAATGAATTTGCGGGAGATGGGCTAGTTTCCGGGCGGATTTTGCTTCCTTGCGGGAGTGTGGGAGGCTGTCTGGATTTCCAGGAAGACTCCTGCAACTTGCAGTAGACTTGCGACCCCTGAAATGGTGTTGATGAAAATTGATGGTGATGTAATGGTGATGAAGCTTTCTTCACACTTAGGGTTTTTTTTTATTATAACAGATTGACAACCTAACAGAACAGTTGAATGAGAAAGAAATGGAGAATAGTGCTATCAAATCGAAGTTAAGCTCATTACAAGCAGACCAGACATCGACAGACAGCGCTGTCACCAGTCTAGAGGAAGCTCTGGCAGAGAAGGAAAGGATGATTGTGCGACTAAAGGATCAGCGATCTCGAGAGGACAATGATCGAACAGAAGAGGTGCAGCATTATCAGAATCAACTGAAGGAATCGAAAGCAAGACTTGAGTCTCTTGAGAAAGAGTTGGCAGATAAAGAAGTAAGTATTGGTTACTTTCTGTACTTAAAATAACTAAGGCCTCAACTTGATAAGTCTATGTTTCTATTATATGATGCTATGCTATAAAGTAATAAAACAATAATACATCTAATGCCTCAAAGTGCTGATGATGCTAAATCAGGAAAGTTTATTAACACTATATTTCCATATCAGACAACATCCAACTTTGTGCATAAGAAATGTTGTTTTTAAAGGTGAGTCTTTGTTGTGCTTTAAATAATTCAGAAGGGTGCGAGTGCTCCAGTTCTGGTTTAATGCTCTGTCCACACTATCAAATTTTATGAGACAAAATATTGTGATGTATTTGGGTGTAATGTGACATCGGCATGCCCATATATGGACATCACTCAAATTTATTACATGAAATATGATAGTATGAACAGAGCTTCAAAGGGGCAGGGCCAGTTGAAGGAAGACTCTGCAGCGTAGGTTTTGATTTTAGGTTGTTGGAATTTAATGCATTTTGTGGAGTTACTGTGTGAACAGGCTAGTGAAAATCAGCTATATAGATTATCAGGAGTGATGCCGTGATGAACCTTAGATGAAGTCAAGGAACGAGCAGCAATGGGTGGAAGTTGTAATGCGCTTTGAGTGACATACTGTTATGCTCCCTCAATTTTGGCTGCTGTATTTATTGCAATATTGCTTTCATCATACGATTTCTGTACATATTCTAGGTATATTAATGTTTAATATATCACGTAAGGCAACATGCTTTACAATGTAAGAAGGGACAAAAATCTCATAGAAAAAAGCCAAAATGTGGAACAACAATTGTTTTAAATCCAACCAGCTGTCTGGAATACAAGTGATTAATTTAACAAATTCTAGACAATCGCAATTGAGCAATTGTCTGCTTGACTATGCTTTTAAGAGTGACGTCAAATGCAGCTGAATGGGCATTCAACATCGTCTTCGCATCTTACAAGTAAAAATAGCCTTCAATTAGTCAAACTGTCTGATTTAAGTGAAGTCGTTAAGGTCATTTCAAAATCAATATGCAATAGAGATTCTCTGTATTTGTACTCTCAGAAATGTTTAAAGAAATTATTTTAATTAAATCTAAGATGTCGCTGATACAGAAATGTTAATTAGACCAAAAAAACAAACATTCTTCTTGTTATGCCTTGAATTCTAAGACCACACAACCAAAGGCCTGTCTCTTATACACATCTAGATGGTGGGTGTGGGGGACCTCGCCTTTTTTATACCTTGTTGAAAACAGTGCAGAAACTTTGGTGGAAATGCAGTCATTCTTATAAATACTAAGGTTTCTAGGTCTGGCATGGGACTGCATTATTTGATTCAAAACAATAAAAAAACAAAGGTAGTCAAATGAAAGATGTACTGATAGTCAAATAAAACTTCAGATTATTTTTAATTCAGATTATCCTTTTTTATATAGATAATTCATTGTATATTTATGTATTGGCAATTATATGAATATATATATATCTTTAAAAAAAATTAGTAAATGTTAATTTCATGAATAATTTTGTAAGTATCCATAATTATGAAAGTAAGTGTATATTAATTTGTTGGAAATTACAATATGTATGTATGTTACTGTACTGGAAAAATGTATGTTAATGCGATTTAAATTTTTAGAAAATGTTAATGTAATTTTACTTAGCCGTCAAAGATTCTCAAATTTAATATTTGTTAATTAGGAATTGTGCTGTAAGTTAATGAAGTTACACATGGTATGATGTGAACCATGGCTCTGTATAAGGTCATTATACTACTGCTGTAATCTGCATTGATTAACCTGCAACAACACTCGTCACAACCTGTGGAAGCCATGTTATGTTATGGGTCATGTGCGGATGAAACATACCAATAAGCAGTGATGTAAACTACTGTATTTGAAAAAAGTATAGGGTATAACCCTAATATATACGGTTTGATTGAAATCAAAATAATTTGCTTTGTATTTTGTTGAAGACAGGTCTTGTATATTACTCTACCTTACCATCTTTTTTTACCTCACATAGTCTTGTTTCAAACTATTTGCTTTGTTCTTTTCTTTTCTTTGTTTTAACCCCAAGAATATGCCAAACAGCAAACTTAATCACTTTTTTAAGTGGCATGTCCCTTCACTAGACAAACATACATGCAAGATGTATTTACATGATAAACTAAGTCTCATTATGAGGCTTAGGGAGTGGAGTTGCTTTGGTCACATGAGAAAAAAAATCAGGAATTAAAATTAGGACCCTGGGATTGGAAGGCAAGCAACTTAACCACCAAGCTATTCAACTCCACTCTTAGTTGCCATGGAGATATCTTGCAGCGGTGGCTCCTATAAATCCAATGGGGCAATACATATTCAATACAATAAGTGCATCTGTATGTAATTTATTGCCTTGCATATCTGTGATGGCGATTTGACCTAGGCCTATAAGTAGTTTGTCTCCTTTAATTCATATAGAGTACCACAGTCGTGTCGTCATGACGCCAGGTGGCTCTCTCTGTTGCCAACCAGACGTTGGTTACCGTTCATTACGCCTGAATGCCTGTAGGCTCTGGAATAGGCATCTTAAAATCTAATATTTTACCATCAAAATTTACTAAAAACACAAAGCTCGCATTATATTAGTTATCGAACACACATTTAATCATCAATTAAAATTTGCAAAGAAAAACTAAGATACACCATCTTAATAATTACGTTAGAAATTGGGATCAGTGGTTTGTCATTGGAGAAAATGATATCTGGTTGAACTCATTTTGCAATGATAGCAACGGAGTAGTATCACGTGATATCGTGACGTAACTGTAGTATTCTATAATATATTTCCTGTCATATTGAATGAAGTGATTGTAAGTAAATTTGCATCAGGCTTTCCTTTGTTATTGAATATAAGCATATGATCATGTCAACAACATTATTATTGTTAATATGTCTTATTGAATAAAGTGATTTTATTATATACTCAGTAATGTGGAATGTGAACTAAGTATATTATTTGCAACAGGCTGTCTTTTGTTACTGAATGTAAGCATATGATGTCAATGATATCATTAATAATATAATAATAATAATAATCCAATAATCATGGTACCAAGTTATTATTAGATATCCTACCAGTTTACTACTGTTTGTATTGATTGCATTGCCCTTCAGAATGGATATTGAACTGTTGGTTATGTGTACATGACATTTATATTGCTTGTGGTTGCCAAGTTATTACTGAGTTCATCCATATTTTACAGTAATTTTCCACTTTAAGTTGTATTCTTAAAGGCTAGCTTAATGGATGTGAAATTCTATCAACAATAGTATCTACTATTTGATATTTGCTTGTGTTGTTGTTTTCCTGATGAATTCTGCGGTTGTTGATAATTTCAATAAAGTTGATTGATTGGTTGTTGCCAGGTTATTAATAAATTAATCTCAATTTCATATACATTTTCTTTTTTAAGGCAAGCCTGATGAATGTTAAGGAGCATGCATCTTCAATGGTGTCTACTAGTTTAAAGAAAGATTCGAAAATAACCACATTAGAAATCAACCTAGCTCAGAAGACAGAGGAACTTATACAACTTGAAAGTGAACTAGAAAAGGTAATTTTTCCTCCTTTGTCACCAATACAAGTAGATCGATATAAAAATTGGTGTTTATTAATTTGAGTGAATATTTCAAATTGTTATTTACCAGTTGTAAGAAGCATATCTGGCTTTCACATCACTTTTATTTCTTACTGTAACAAAAGAAGTTAACATAGTTTTGTTTATATAACTAATAAGTGAATTATAGTGAGTTCAGTTCTTTTGTATTATATCTAATAATCATCACTATCATGTTTTTTTATAAGACTTGACCACAGTATGAATTTCCTATATACTGCCCTCTATTGTTTATCTAGCAAACTGCTCTGTAGGTCTACAACCCTGATCTATATCTGAATTCCCTGAATAATATAGATGGAGAATGTTTGATGTTAAGTTTACTAAAATTAATTTCCATTGTAAATTCATGGTAAAATATAATGTAACATTTTGTTAATGTACTCAAGTTGTGTAAGACATTTTAATCTGTATTCACATATTGATCAACAATCATTCTTTATGAAACTCGTCAAAATTGATTGACTTCACTTATATCTCAATGTGTTTTTAATTTTAATTAATTGTTATATTTACAAACTATATATCCTATTCACAAATTATAAATATAAAATCAATCTGAGAAAATTTTATAATTTGCTACTACTAGCTGGAAGGAACTTTACAAGTGGTAAGTTTTAAATCCAAACAAACACAATAAAATAAATTTAATATTTTTGTCTTTTGCTCAATATTTCTTTCTTTAAAAGTATCTCCTTTTCATCATTCATTTATAAAGCATTCATTATTTGTTTGGTTTATCTGTTTCTTCACATATCATGCCATTTTTGCATAGACATGGATTCATCCTCACTTGTTTTGTATGCCAACTTATTAACTTATCTGCTCTTCAATTAACAAATTTATATTTGATTTTGACATTTCAATATTATATGCAAAGAATATTCAGGTTAATAAAGAATTTATTTTGATTTATTTTCTTTATCAGAATATATACATATGTAATATGTTATATATAATGTAACTATATAATTGTGATTATTGTTATATTTTTTCCATTGTAATTAAAACCATGAGTTTTACTACCATTTTAATTATTATTTTTGATATTATAATTGTTATTATTATTATTATTAATATCATTCACTATTTGCTTTGTCTCTACTTCCACTCTCTCTACTACTTTTATTAGAAACAATTTCTTGATATAAGGGGCTTTATCTCTGGTCTTCGGCAATACTTATTCCAAGTAAATTTTAGGCAAGGGTCATTAGGGCTTATTACCATACCAAGTAGATTTAGGAGGACAGAGTGAATCATACTTCTGGTCATTGTCCGAGAGGGAGACTTAATATCTCTGGGGCCTATTACCAGGACAAGCCTGAGACAGGGTGTCTCCACTGTACTTGTGGTCACCAAATGTGTATTTAGGTCAGAAGAAGGGAGACTTAAACCTCTGGGCCATTTAAGCTTATTACCAGGCTAGTCTGAGGCAGGGAGACTTGCACTAGGACTTATTACAAGGTTAGTCCAAGCCTACTAGAGTTTATTACCAATTTTTTCAGTTTCTTTTCTATTTTTTCTTTCCTTTGTTTTCTTTTCTGTTCTTGGGGGTTGAGTGAATGAAACCCATTTTAAAGAATGTGTTTTAGAGGTAATGGAATATACCGTATATCACTTCAGTATTAGTTTATATGCATGATACTTTATCTGCTTTATTATAATGTAAGCGGCATTGAGAATGATGTCAATATAAAGAATGTGTCATTAGTTAATTTAGGTTTCCATTTCAATTTTGCATTCTAATCAATTCTCTAACTGATGTGTAATTTCTGCATATTGCCTTTTTGCCAAATGCCAGAAATTACGCAAGCTTCACCGGGTAAGTCTCTAGGCTTCGATAATGCCAAGTTTACTGCTATTAACAAGCGCCCTCTACAGCATCGTGAAACGTTTCGTCTATGAACATCTACTCTGCTTTTGGTGTACATATAGCACTGCCTTTTCTGAATTGTAGCGTGGATTTGTTTGGCTTAATATGCACATAAATGACATGGAAATCTGTGGCGTGATGGATGCTGCCAGGCTTTAAATCCATGCTTTATAGGTTCAATCTTAAAAGTTGGTAGCATTTCTTTACACTCAAAAACAACTTTATTGCAAAAGGATCTTAATGTGACGGTTTATACAGTCAAACTATAACATGTATTAAATACTAAAAGGATTTCAACAAAATTCTAAATTCTATTTTAAGCTAATTTGGAGTGTGCTTATGAAGAATAATTTTTATTATTAATGTTTAAAATCTTTTCTAATCATTACTAATTTTAAGCTTTGTCCACACTGTTGTATGCCCATATATAGTCATGATGTGCCTATATATGGTCATGATCTGATGTCATCATGACCATATATAGTCATGTCCCATGTTTTTGTCCAAAAAAAATGTGATAGTCTTGACAGTGGCTTCAAAGACACAAATTTGATATGATAATCACATGTGCCATATATGGGCATGATGATATCATACCACACCCATATATGGCCACAATGATGTCATACCATATCCTATCTATGGGCAAATCATATATTTATCATAGAAAATGTGACAGTGTGGCTACAACTTTAGAACCCATTTAATTCATTGGGAGCACTGTTTACATTTTCTGTCATAGTTATATCAATTTAAACTCTATTTAAGACCAATAATTTCTGTTTTTAAATCTTAAATTCTGTTGTTATGTTTGTGTTTTTAGTACATTCATCTGTATTTTGTTTTTCTGACTGATAATTTGTCAACTCATTTATTTGAGCATTCATGTATACTTTGATGTTTTCATGCATTTATGTTTTGTCAGTTCATAACTGTGTTCTCAATATTCAAATATAATTATATTTCAAACAAGTTCAAAACTGTTATGCTAATTGTGTAATAACATTTAAATTCATATTAAATTGCTTGATTAATAATCTGGATTTGTCAAATTTGAACTTGTTAAAATATGTGAATCAGTCAGGTTTTTTTTAGTCCATTTTGTTGTTTGTGTACACTGAAAACTCACAATACAACACATCTAGTTTTCAAACACACAGGTTGCATCCTTCTAATAGTATTTATTATAGACTTGGAATTATGTTTATCACTGCATCTGAATAGTGTGAGTATGACACAGATGAAAACTGGCACAGTTCTCCTACCACCTACACTGGCTCTGTAATTTTGAATATTTCCACAATCTCCCATTCGGTCACACCTCACTGATAGTATCAACTCATACTCATAACTCATTTTATTGCAATCGTATAACAGATTAGATAATACAAAATAAGACGCAAAAAGACATTCATCAATAAAGAAACAAAAAACCAGCCGATTAAAATTAAGAATATCATTATCATTATATATACAAAAATTATCAGTCATCCAAAATTACTATTTACAAAAATTTTATAAAATCCTAATCCCAAGAACAGGCAATTTCTAAATGTCAAAAATTCATTAATATAATTAAAACTTATCATTATTTATAAAAATTTATAAAAAATATAATTTTAATTCAGAATTAAAATCACAAGTCTATTAAATCTACTATTGCTTCAAATTCTCTGTATGCTCTATTTTCTTTGAGTTATTACATTTTTTTTTGTTTACACAAGTTGATTTATGACAAAATTCTTGTTTCATAGATTAAAGATAGTCGTGATCGCGATGACCGGCAAAAGGCTAAAATGTATGAGGAGCAGATTGCAAACCACCGCGAGGAGTATAAGAAAACACAAGTGGAGGTAGATCGTTTGCTTGCTGTTATCAAAGAGATGGAATCTGAGAAAAATGGCAAGGATGTGAGAATCTCGGAATTAGACTTGTAAGTTGGGTTTGGGACATAAGTTTATATAATACGTTTATATCATCATCTTCATTGTCATCATTATAATTCCTCCACCATAATTCTCAGTTACTACCAACATCAGCATTATCGTCTTCTTCACCATCTTAATCATCAGCATCATCGTCATCATCATTATCACCACCACCATCATCATCACAACCATCATCATCAATCATCATCATCAACATCTTCATTATCACCATCATCAACATCTTCATTATCACCATCATCTCTATCATCTTAATATTGACTGAGAGAGGTTATGTTTCTGCTTGTTGTGCTGAAGTTCCTGGTTCAAACCCAACCAGCGTCATATTATAATTAGAGTCAGATCGCTCTGACTCTGCCGGATGAAAAGGAAAACTTTATTTTCATTTGTTTTATTATATATAATTGTGCCTGTCATTCTTCCATTCTTCTTTAACACGTTCTTTTCTTTATGGTAAGCAGCACAGAGACATCAGGGTGAGTGAATATCATCAGCCTTACTCCTCACAAAACTATTGGAGGAACATATGAATACATTGAAATAAAAAAGTGTTTGGAATAAATTTTTACCAATAGTTTTTTAAACTTGAATGGCAAGTTACATCTATTAAATTGTACTAGACAAACTGCCAATGAATGAGGGATACAACACTTTGCTTCAGCACTTTTTCAAGCAAGAAGCGTTATATATGTTTTTCTTACTATACGTTAAATATATAGTAATTTTTTCTTGTATTTTAATAGTATATATTTTGGTTGTACAGTATTCTAGTTATCAACTATACCATTGGATGTTGTTCCAGTATGTTTATTTTAGTGATTGTATTAATATTGTTTTTAATGTGCTAACCTAAATATGTTTACTGTATTTAAGAATTGATCAGTTCACTTGCAACTGCCTTTCTCTTGTTTGTTTTTCCCAACCCTCTCTTTTCTGAATTCCTCAACTTTCCCTGCCCCTCTTTTCCCAACTTTCCTCTTTTACACCACTTCCCAACCAAAATGTTAATAGATTATGTTAGTTATTTAATGTCAACCTAAATTTACTAATTATTATTGCATGGTGATTCAATGCTAGTTTATTTATGCATCTTTTCATCACATGACTAAAATAGTTATGTGACAGTACATGGCAATAATCACCTGATCTCTACCAATTAATATGAACTGAATGTCATTACCTCTTTTAACTTGCTGATTATATATTGTTAAACGCCCAAATCTATTCCTCTCCATCTTCCTACTTGGCCATTTACCAATAATATTTTTATCAAGAAAGGTTGAAGTATATAAACAAATAAATTCATTTCATCTCTTGCCAAAGAGCAACAACATATGGCTTTAAACCTTAACCTAAATATTTTCTGTACAAAGTAATTTTCTGTAAAGTTTGTCATTAGTATATCGCTTTGAATGTGATATTGTTGTTCAGTGGCATAGGCTTATACCTGAGTCAGTACCCTATCTTCCATAAATGTCAGTTGTTATATTTTATCAGTTGTAATACAGTAGTAATTTTTTTTATTATTTGTATTCGATTTCAGATAACATTTTTTAATGTCTAACCTACCATTTTACTGTATTTTTAAAGTGTATTAACATTTTGGAGTACTGCACTGTCTTTAAATCATTACTCACATTGTTATAATGTTTACTTTCCCTGTTAATTAGATACCTTTCATCTTTGTTTTACTTTGGTTAGATTTTCTGACAACTATTATAAGTTTTGATGCGTGTGTGCATCAGGAAATGTTGTAGGAATGATGTTTTTCCCTACCTGACGTTTTACACTGAGTACTCATTATATTCCCAAATACACCTGTCACTAAGAACTAGCTCAGTCTACTGGTTATGACACCAGGCTAGTTACCTGGAAGTCGTTGGTTTGATTCCCACCCGAAATCATTTGCAAATTTTTCTGCAAATATTTGTGAACGTACTGCGTATTCACTACGACAACACGTCAAGTAGGGCAAAGCATCACTCCTATAAAACGATTATGGGATTAGAAAGTGCAGGGATACTGTAAGCCCAATATCACTGATTTCATTCATTATTTATTTCGCTGTTAAATGTCGGGTACTCGCTGCATCCGATGACCTTCGACACGATTCTACAGAGAACGGAACACCACGACGCGCACACAACATATTATTTTTAATGAGGATAAGTTCAGACTGCCACTGACTATCAGTAGACAGCATCGTGTTGTCTAGTTCTCATAGAGAGCAGAGTTGGAGTCGTATGACTGTCGTATAATGCAGTGAGGACCCGGCTTTTGCCATCTCATCTCAATCCAAGATTACATGGAAAGGTCAAAGGTCAAATGCTATCAAGCTCTCAACCTAAACTTATAAAAACATCATAATAGAATTTCATATACTGTAAATTTGGAAATTCATTGTATATTTTATATTATTTAAACATTTTGTTAATAATTATTAACTGATATCTTACAGGCAATTAAGTGATTTAAATCGCAAGTACAATGCGATGAAGCGAGACCAGCAGATGCAGAAGAAAAAGAGCGCGCAGTTGCTAGAGGCAGCAAGGAAACGGGAAGGAGAACTTACCAGTGATTCCCAAGAACTACAGGTAAAGGATGGTTGGGTGTCACATGACTAGCTTTGTAGGTCATGTGATCAGAATGTGTTATCATTTTATGAGATATAAAAGTAAATCCTTGCCGAGCCACTAGGCCTCACTTTACTGCAGTTTATCCTGAGTTTCTGTAGCATGAGGCGGAAGAGAATGAATGATATTGCCCCTGGGTAGGACGTTAGTCCACCGCAGGTTACTCCCAGTAATTTGCAGCTGCCCAGTAATACAGCTGGGTAGACTAAGGCTATGTTCACACACACGGCGTAAGGCTGGCTTAAGCATGGCGTAGCGTACGCCTCTGTGTGTGAACTAGGCAGTGGCGTTGTTAAAGCCACTCACTACGCCACGTCCTTGGCGTTATTAACGCTACCTGCAGACCCCAGATTAGCTAACGCCACTGAGCTAACGCCAGTGATGCTTGAATGGTTTTACCTCATTTCAAGAGATTGACCAATCATGATTGCAATATTAGCTACTTTGGTCTCTTTTCTGTGCTCTCTATAAATGAAATGGTAAAGGGGTTCTTTTTCTATTACATTTTACTTAGTTATAATGTATATGATTTGTTGATTGTGTTTTGTAAGATATTTTAACATATTTAGACTGTCTATTAAAACCTGCAACACCAACAATGCTAGCTGAAAAATCAAAGCAAAATTGTTCATTTAAAATACAATAATCATATAAGTTCACTTCGAACAATTCACAGATTTAAAAGTTTTACTGATGCACTGTTAATTTTACTACAGTTAAGAACCCGTACATTATTTAAAACTTAAAACTATTCCCCCATAGGC